GAGTAACGAACAACCGTCCACAATCCGACGAAAATGCCATGGAGTGTAAATCTGAATCAGTCTGTGGATTTCCGAACGTTTACAAACACAATAAGAAACAGTGCATCTTGTTTAAGTTGTATGATGCCGTAGTTCAACTTTCATCTCGTGAATCCTATGCTCGTCTGTTCTTCTCTGTCATACACAAGTGAGTTTATCGATGTACGGGTGTGTTGTTGTGTGTGAACGCGTTTGAGTGTGTACTAAGTCGTAACAGGAATTTCCTTCGCAATTAAGTAGCATAAAAGTAGAACTATATTTTAGGTCAATGTACAATTTTATGCTGATATTGTAAAACAATGAACATAGTAAATGCACGAAACGAATCGATTGTGTTCAGCCTAAAGTGGAGTCCCCAATTTGGGACACGGGACGGACACATTTTTGCAACGTTTTTAAATTGCTTTATGTTAATTATTATAATAGGAGAGGACAGACTAGCCTGGGGTGACTTGTTGGAGGTGACAATCGAATACAGGTACCTACTGTTCATGGATTTTCAAGCTGTGGTTCATGACCTGGACACGATTTCGATTTGTGGTATGTCTAGGTTACGTTTGACCATATATCCTTCTGTTTTTTATAATTATTATAATGATATGACCAAGTTTTAAAAAGGGAAATCCACACAAAAATATTATATTATAAATGTTAAATTATTGAAATAAGATTCGGTCCGACGGTCTGTCGAGACGTTTCTGCAATACACTAACCACTAACAACAAGACAGTGTCGCAAAGAATTTTTCTTTTTCGCGTGGGGCATGGGGCGAACCAGTCGGTTTTGATGATCGCTTTTTTATGGACAAGAAATAGACTAGATATAGCAGAACCTGTGCTCTATCTAGTCTCTAGTCTCTCCAGGAGTTCGCACCTAAGACCTCTCGTGCTTAACCATGCCAGTAATATAAGTTTAATCATTGAGCTAAGATGGTTGTTGCGCAGACATTTATATACATTATAACAAATAGTTATAATTATAATTAATAGTTTAGTAAAATTTAATTGCTGCTTTAAAGCGTTGTTAATGTTTAATAGTTGAATAACTAATTACGTCGTAATGTAATGTGTAATTACAAATCACTTTTATGAAACTCGTCATATTTTTTCTACTTAGTAATTGGTTTTAATTAATGTTGTGTTTTTCACACCATGATTTCACAAGCTCTTCAAACCAATGGTAGCAATAGCTAATCAACGGGCCGTCGATTCGACTCCGACCTGGTCCAACGTGTCTTTAACATCAATTTATACATTTTCGGAAACATGTTAGACTTCGCCTTCTTCTTACTAGGTGTCATGCCATCGTTCACAAATGAAAAATCGTGAATTGTAACATCATGAATATATTAAAATCACAGCAGTAATTTAAGTACAATAAAAGAACTATGCTTATTAATTTTGCCGTTTTCTCTTTAAAATAGAAACAACTCAAAGTTAGTTCGTCATAAAACGAATGAATATTTACATATAGCGGTAAGAACAAGTCGGTAATTTAATTCGTAATTTATGAGTGCTAAAACTAATATAACGGGTGTTATAAAATACAGTAGAATAAATAAATAGAAATATTGTATATAAGAAGCGCTGCCCAGTGTCATCTTCGTTTATAACCGAAGCCGAAACTTAGGTTAAAAATAGACCTTCTGAAACTACCCTCGGTATATAAACATATTAAAAGGTGAAATTATTATAAAGAAGAGGTTTTTTGGTAGAAAGTGGAAGACAAGCAGTCTTCTCTTTTCTACCAAAAAGTCACTTGATGTAAGTTGAGACCCAGACGGTAAACCATTGAGTAAAGATGCACCTTTTTTATCTGTGGACGGTCGTTGACCTGAATGTAATCTTGATATTACCACCACCCATTTTATGGTCAGATTTTGGTAATCAAATCCACCGTTGGTTATGAACGGAGTTCGGAGCCTATAGTTTTGTCTATTACAACCGAACGAGGTGTTACATAAACCATCTCGTAAATACTGTTTGGACACAAGAGTGGGCTAATTCGCTGATAGTCTTACATCATTCAATTCAGTCGTCAACGCTAAGTGACAATTGAAGGGGACAATTTGTACTACAAAAACTTAGGATTGCGTTCGACCTCTGTACACATAGATTCGCTTGATACTGTAACAAAGTTGATAAGAATGAACGAAACTAACACAATTATCTCACCGTCTCCTACAATTGGACAGACGATTCAAGAGCTGTTGAAACTGCGTGGGCTTTACCAACAAGACAACAACTGATAGCTTAACGGCACCAAAGCACTCGGCTGTTGACATCTCCCATGGCCGCCAGGCTGGTACTTTCGCCAACTTGAGTTTCGAATGTAGGGGTAATAAAGTTGACTGGAACCTTGTGGTTACAGTCAACTTTATTACCCCTAGACCAACAAGGCAGTTGTAAAAAAGTACGGCCAAGTGCGAGTCGGAGTAGCGCACGTAGCGTTCCGTTATCCGTACTATCTATTAAAACGAAGGAAATAATCACGTTTGTTGTAAGTCCGTTGAAATATTAATTAATTATGTTTTTATTTAAAAATTTCAACTCTATGACTCTCAGAAGACAGGTGACAACAAAACCAAGACATACATTGTAGCTTAAGTAATCGGGCGGAACCCTTTACATATGGAACCCAAAACTAAGTAACAACATACTATTCTCAATCACTAAATTCTGGCGTAAAAAATAATCCTAAATCCTTAAAAATCGTAACGATATATGGGAAGAAATTATATAAAACAGTATTATCGTTTTTTATCATGGATGCTGCAATCCAGCGAAGTTAAAAATAAATTTTATAATAATTTTTGGCGTTTTAAAGGGCTACAACTGTTTCATTTAAACGTGTCGTCGCATAACCTTCAAAAAACACTTAAAGTTATTTTTTTATCTTTCTTGCCTAAGCCGGCTCCCAGGTTTGAATTTCCCGGAAAATCTGATTCCCTCGCTAACCTCTCGAAAACCAATCTATCAAGCGTCCTAATTTCCATCTTAATAACTTGCGTTAATTCCTTCTATTGCCTATTTCAGCTTCAGTGTTGCCAGTATATTAACAGAGTGAAATTAATTACATAAGTGAAATCAAGTATTATTAATAATTTTGTTTTTTATATGACACAACAGTAAAAGCAAGCATGAGGTTCGCTTGATGGAAAAGTAAAAATACAAATTACTCCAGCCTTATAACATCTCAACAATATGCGCTATCGAACTATTTCGGCTTTGTATTTGTAAATTCACAATCTGAAACTAATTTTCCATACGAAGTCTAACGTGTTTCAGAAAAAAATATAAATTTATAAGAAACATTTCAGACCCGGTAGTGATTAAACCCACGACATGTAGAGGGTACTATTAAACAAATGAGTCAGTCAAAAAAATCCTCTTCTCCACCCACCGTGGTTCCAACTTTCCAAGCACTTTTAATCAGTTGAGCAGAAAATTTATTTCAATTCAGAAAGTTTCGAGAAGTCTACTGTAAAAGATACATGGAATTGAATCTACAATGACCGATATGAAAAGAAAAATGCGATAAAATTTTTCATCGTAAGAAAATAATAAAATAGTTTGATCTTTCTTCACCTTTTTGCTTAGAAAATCTATAGTGGGAGAGATCGTAGTTTCAACTATCGATAAAGTTCAGTAAATTGTTTGATGGAGGTCAGAAAAGCCTGTCAACTACTCAGTTTGTGAAATTTGATTGAAACGGAAGCAAAACTGTGTCTGTTCCTTTAGATAATGCACATTATTTTTCACTTCCTAAATTACTCTGCATGCACCTATGTGCAGTTAGGATGTGATCCATCCTATTTTTGTAAACAAATGCATACAAGGACAGTAATATATAGTACCTTTGGTCTCAAAAAGAAAATTCTTAGAAAAGCTTTGAAACACGAGAGATGATATAACATGTCTGATACCATTTTAATTAAATACTCTTTCTTCTTGTAGACGTGTTGGTCGAGATCATCAATAAGTAAATTAATAAGTAAAATGCAATTTAAAAATCGAAAATAAATTGAAAAAATTTTCGACTCGGGCAGGACTTGAACCGGCATCGTCAGCGTCGCCAGAGCAACAGCACGGAACTGAGTCGAAAATTTTTTCAGTTTATTTTCGATTTTATATATACTGCCTTCATGTGCAATAACATGTAAAAAATAATAATGTTTTCAAAAGTAAAATGCATTTAATACGAAAAGTACATTTTACATATTGCATTACTTCGATGTACGTATCTAGCTTAGAAACAATTGAAGATCTGACTAGAATAAAATCTTATAAGATTTCTTATTAAGCCCATGAATTTGTTAACCTGTTTAATTATTACAGGGGTAACATTTTTAACGGTTCGAAACGCGAAATATATTCGCTATACTTTTATTGTATGCTGCTGCGACCCTATGTTTCGGTATCTTTACATCAGCCGTGGTCGCGAGAGAATAACATTTAAATTCAATAGTCAACCGTGAATTCTATCAAAATGGGTCAAGCCATTGAAACGTACAACTTATATAAAACGCTTTTAACAGTTTAAGACGCGATATGTATTAGCTAACTTATTCACAATTTACTTTAACTACGGTACAACGTTTTGGATGCTTTGCAGCCGTGGTCTCAAGGGGTCTGTCCCCCGTACTTTTCAAGTTTTAAACCGTTAAAAGTGTTTTATTTAAACGTGTGCTGTTCACGTGAAATATAAACGAATTTTCAGATACTCAATTGCGTTGATGCCTAAAATGTTGCAAATACCTCATCCTGGCAACACTGTAAATAGGTGCCCTAGGGTTGTCAAAGGGAAATTCGCATTAGTGACTCCAGGGGTATATAACTGTGTTGTGTTCGGCGCGCGGTCCAGTCCCATCGCGGCCGTTCCATCACGCGGTCGTGAATACGTGATCTCGAATAATTTTCATACCGTTGTCGCGAACGCAAAGTCGAAACACAGGCGTCCCAATGAGGTAAGTTGTTCATAATATGTTTTTCGCTACAGCGCAAAGCGATTGTCGTATTCAAATACGTGATTCGCCTGATAAAAGGTGAAAGTTACTATGCAATGTTTAAATTTATTGTTTATGCTACAGCGTAGGCTATAAGAGTTTAAGATCTTCGGTTCCGTAAATCTAGGGACACTTCACGGTTATTTGAAAAGTTGAGAATGCTTTTTACATTCATGTTAGCGGGTAACTGTTAATAGTGAAGCATAAAATAAGAGGAAACGCTTTAGACGGTTTAAAACTAAGGAAGCGTTGGATCACAACTAAAGATTTATTGAATAATACATTTCAGGTTTTAAACCGTCAATTGTTGAATGTGTACACTTCCCGTAAAGACAGTGCTTAATCTCTTCTAAGACAGATTTAATTTTGTTTATATGAAAGTAGTTGTTTTAATTATTAGTTTGGTTTATGTTAAATTTCACTTGTTTCTATAAGATCAATTTTTCAAACACGAGATAATAATATTATTTTAAACACTTAAACAAACAAATATGTTTTTATTTTATAATATCTCATCTCTTTCGTCTGATGCATCATACCTACAGAAAATGAATCGATTTTTGTTTCTCCTTCTTAAAGAAAATATATACGGAAATTGTCTCTTAAATAGAACGCATTAAACGGTTTATAATGAGAAATATACTTCTTACCTTTTTAAACTACCATTGTAACTGGGGACAGGGACTATAAATAAGTTACCTAATATTTTCACGTTTCAAACCGTTACAAGTTTTATTTAAGTGTGTAATACTCGCGACACATCCGAACAATGTTTTTTAGTATGGAATGGTTTTGTTTTATCTCTTTTATTCATAAACTAAATGTCATCTGTCCGATAAGGATTAAATAATATTTATTTACGAAATAATTTACTTATTAACACGAGTAATTTTATGTCTTATTTCTTATTATGTGTGTAACATGCGTGATAAAGACAAAAAATATTTAAAATTACGTATTTAAACACGAGAAATTCTGTTATCAAAATATACGAGTCGACCACACGTAGTCAACTCGTTTTTAAGTTGAACATTTACTCCAAGTTCATATTGGTAATACCTTGACCCGATAGTAGCCGTTTTGACCAAAACAGTCAATAAATTTGGTTGAGATTATATCCTTATCTCTCTTTAAGTTAGATTTTTCGTCACAAAACATATAACATTTTGTAATCACTTTACAAACATAATTCTTATAATGTTATGTACATTGAATTTTAATAACGAACCTCAATCCACACTGTGGTTTAAAAACTTAATGCAGAGATGGTATTACAAAACTATTTAGATTGAATCATTTACGGCACAGGCGGGACTCGAACCAGCATCCACAGATCCGTGCTGCTGCTCTAATCAAGGTAGCTCAATTGATTATAGCAATAGCCCGGAACGATGTGGATGTCGGTTCAAATTCTGCCCGTGTGTTAGTTTTTTCAATCTAACTAGATTTTTACTTTATATGTCTCGGTGGTGCTTAGTGCAGTCTATGGTCTAGGAATATCTTGAATTTGGCATAATGTTAGTTCCAATAATTCCTAGTAATAGTCTGAAGGTTGGAAGTTTCATCACTCCCATGCTTCGGGAAGCATAAACCTGTCCCGGTTCTTCGTCACTAATTTAGTAGCACTTGTCGTTAAAGTCCCTCAACTAGGAGTACCACGGCTGCTGCAAAGCATCCGAAACGTCGGGCCGAAGTTAAAAATCATTTTCAAATAAGTTTAACTAATATATCGCGTTTTAAACCGTTAAAGTGTTTTATTTAAATGTGTACTACTCGCGTAAACTATAGACAGTATCTATCGAATATAATATCTATTGAAGATAATCAAATGCCTTTTCTTATCCGCGATTTACCTTGTTGGATTCAGGTTTTTATAGAAATGTTTTTTGTTTTGTTATTTCAATACCTAGCACAGCACATAAGTATTCGCGGAAAGGTTAAATGTTTACATGTTAGGTTGTGTGGTAGAAAAATATACATGTGTAAGGTTTTTTATGTCGATATAATAAATCTTTTTCTCGTCGAAAGTCCTTTATAAATTTTGATCCAATTTACTGAATAAATAGCGCTTTACGTAAACTAATTTTATTCAATGCGATCTTATTTCCCTAGGGATCAACGAGGATTTATTTTTCTTAATATTGTGCCGCAACCTTTGTGGATATATTTAATGTTTATTTTAATCATAAAATCAAAAATATTGACCTACCGAAACTACAAATCATTTCGGTTAGACAGGATATAATACAGAGTATCTGCCCCTCAGGGGAAAACAGGATTTCACTTTTAAATGAAAAATCATATTATTCGGACCGTTTAAATCTAACTTCAGCGCGTTTGAAGTACTGAACTCTACTGTATTATTTTATGTTTTGTCTTTTATTGTTTTTTTTTATGAAAGAAGAGAATAGAGACACGTTGTGTTCACTCGATGAAAGGTGAAATATTTCAGCTATATAACATCTCATAAGATGCGCTATCGACCCATTTGGATTTGGATATTGGGAAATCCATAGACTGAAACCGAAAAGTGATTAAATTTCATGGCTTTTTCATGTTAGGATTTCGATATTCCTCCCAGGCATGTTTCAGAAAAATTATAAGTTGATTAGAAACATGTTAGACCCGGTAGAAATCGAATTCACGACCCGATGAACCATACATTGATACCATTAGACCAACGAGCCTGTCATTAAGGTGGATTAATTTGTTAGTTTGTAAAATAGACAATACGAATATAATGTTAGTATCTATTACTTAATCATACGCTTAGAAGTGCTTTTTGTCTTTCCTAATGATGACATTAATATTCAATTAAGGCTTACGTTGTTTGATAATAAACAATTAATAAATAAATAAAAATTTAAACAGACATGTAAAGGATAGCAGTAGATGTTGTAATACGTGAAAATACCTATATCAAATGAAGATGGAGGCTGCCTCTAATGTCAAAGTCAAATCTGCTACGTCGCACCGTAGTTAAAATAAATTGTAAATAACTTAACTATAGGTACTTATATATCGCGTTTAAACCGTTAAAAGTGTTTTATTCAAAAGTTTCACTATTGTTTCCTCTCTTCCGGCTCTCCGTAAACAGCTTTACCGTTTTTCGTGGGATTCAAGGAACAGTTATTTTTTTTATTACACGCAACGTCGCGGCGAACAGCTAGTATAGTTTATATTAATAAGTGTCTACATAAGTACTTTTTATGAAAAGAAATAAGCAAAAGTCGCGAAGTGTTTAGTGTTGGAGTTTTAATAATACAGCGAAAAACTTTTCCTCTTAGAATGCGTAAGGTGTTCTTCAGTGAATAAGCTTTTCTTTTTCAAGAAAATTCTCCGTATATTCTAAAGGTAATAAAAACGTTAAAAAATCCATTCGCCAAAACGTTTGAAAGAATTTTTATATAAGTTTTGTTGTACGAAAGTTAGTAGATGTTGACCGCTTCCGTACTACTGCAGTCTAATGGAATCCGAGATGTTCTAGGTTCGAATCCCTGGGTAATCGTAAGAGCTTGGGTTGGGCAGGGCACAAGTTTAACCTCACCTTTCTAATTAAGTTAGTTTAGAGAAACGGACACAAGCGTTTTGGCCCCATGCCCCAACGAGTGTTAACATTTCATTACATAATTATATAAACATTAATATTAAATCATCAAAAATTTTACTGCCTCAAAAACTGTGATTATGGTACATTAATGAAACGAATAAGGTTCGATTCTTGGAGAAATAATAAATTGTCAGCATGAATGCTTTTAACTAATATTTAACTTTGTTTATCTAATACTTAACTTGGGAGGTGGGTGCTTTCTAATTTTTAAATATAATAACCGACTAAAAATTACCTTTTTGGTACAATGATGAAACGAATTAGCACGGGTACGATTCCCGGGGAAATAATAAATTGTAAGCATCAATGCTTATAATTTATTATTTCCCATCTTCAACTTGACTTAAAAAATAATTACTTTCATACAACTTAGTTTAAAAATTGAAATACATAAAATAACTTATTTCTCGTTACGTTTCAATCAAGCAGTGAAAATCTAGTATAGACGTAATAATTGATGTATCATCGTTACGTCATAAGGAAACAAATATTTTGAGGTCAATATCTTAAGCCTCCATCTCACGTTGCCATGACAACCAAACACGAGACCCGTGCTAGAATTTTAATGCTTCATGTTTGATAATCTTTTACGTCCAAAATGATTGCGAAATAGTTTAGGTTGGTCGCTCCTAGAAAAACAGATATATACACTATACTGTGAACAAACATAGACAGCGTTGGCTTAATAGTGGCAATGTGTGGCTAATAATAATAATAATAATCAACAGATCGTGGTGTCGATCCCTATCAGATCTAGCATGTTTCTCATTTATATATATATTTAAAAAAGCGGCGGTAGCGATATCGAAAATCGTTCGCGCCACGAACCACAAGAGAACTAGCCGTGATTTTTAATCGCATTTCAGTTTCAGTTTGTCTGTTTTCTGAATTTCTAAACACATAATAGGTCGACGGCACGAGATGTGCTTTCGACCCATTTCGACCTATTCGACCGTTTAGATGTTATATAGTAGGAAAGGGTGTAGTTTATTGTATTGTTCTAAAAGGTTTTGAAAAATAGAATCTATGACGAATGTAATTTTTGCAGAAAAAAAGCATTAATAAAAGGAATTCTGCTCATCCGTCTCACAAATTTTACCTCATACAGGCAAATAGTCGACCAGTCTGCACCCTGTCAAGCCGAAACAATGTATCGTTTTCCCGGGACTCGAACTCTTGCCTGTTCTTTTACTTTTATCGTACTAGACACTGAAACACGCTTAACCATTAAGCGACGTTGAGATTTTAGTGTAACAAATAAACATACTTTTCCTATCAGTATAAACTCCGCTTATGCCTTTGAGATTTGCAATATCCTGTTTTGGGATTAGACGAAACGACTTCAGGATCC